CGGGGAGGGTGGGCTTCCTCGGCTCCGCACACAGCGGCCTCTCCTGGAGCTCAGCGGGGTGTGGGACCCCGGCCGGGTTCCCCCTGGTGGGGACCGAGCCGGCAGGTTGGGCTCCCACAAAGAGACCCCACCCCCCACCCCGGCGCTTTCCAAACCCCCGCGGGAAGGGGGTGCGGGGAGCATAGTTGCATTTGGGACCATGGCTGTTAGCAACCCTGCAGGGCTCTCATGGGCTCCAGTGTGTGCTGAGCCCACAGTGAACAGTGTCACAATGTAACACACTGACAGCTCAAAAGAGAAACTTGTCATAAATTTTATGACACAAATGTAACCGGCATGGGGGGTGGGTCCTTTTACGATCCTTTTACAACCCTGCGCGGCAGGCTGGCCTTGGGCCTGGGAGAGCCTCACTGGCTGTCCCCAGATCTCTCCCTCCCAGGTCAGGGTTTGGCCAGGTGACTCATGGTCACCTCCGGCCGGACTCGGGCTGCCTCCCACTGGTCTGTCTTGGGCCCCCGGCCAGGCCCTGCCCCTCCAGGGCGAGTTCCAGAGAAGTCCTGTCCGAAGCTACAGGCGAGTGCCGGTGTTTCCGCAGGCAGTGGCGGAGTCCTGGTGACCCCGACCTTTCCCTGGGCACTCCCCCCGCTGTGTTGTTCTTAAAAGTCCTCACACACCCACCCCGCCCCCCCTGCCCGCCTGGTGCTCTTTGGCTCCTTAACTCCCTTCCTGGCACCTGGGCTAAGGAGACCTTTGGTTCCATCCACTGGCTGTGAGCTCCGCTTTAGAAGTACTTGCGATTTCCTCGAATTGTCTGGGTTTCTGTGCCCTGGCCGTCCCCCCAGAGGTCTCGCTTTCGCTTTCCAGGTCCTTCAGCACTGGGCCCAGCTCTTCTCAGTTAACCCCAGGGGATCTCCCGTCCTCTGGGGCCCAGTGGACCCCTTTCCCTTCCTGAGGGAGTGGCTTGCTCGGGGCTTTCATCCGGCCCAGGTTTATTGGACACAAGTTATAGTCTTGGTTCCCTTACGTTTAGCACATTTCAGTTTAAAAGGATACATTAACTTTTCTTTACATTGCTTTTTGTCCAAGTGGACTTTTTTTTTTTGTCTTTACTGACTGTAAAATTAATATTGTTAACGTAAGAAACATTCAAACCTGTGACGAATTTTTCTGAGTTTGAGCCAAACTGTCGACACATGTGAAACAGAATCTCACGGATTGAGGGGATGCTCCTTGGGGAATGGCAGTTTCGCACTTTGTTTTATAGATTACAATCAAAAGAGGAGACGGGAGTGGGTTACGAGAAAGCCATTGCTGACAGGTGACGGGAACCGGAGGGAGCAAAGCTGGGGGTCGGGCCGGGAGGGTGGGGGGAACCTCTGGGGTTGGATGAAAATAAAATGATAGACACACACTTCTTTTACTTAGGTGGGTGCAGGATATTCAGAGTCAGCAATTAACAGGACAACAGTGATAATGAGGGGCTTGTGGTTTCCACTCTAAGCCTTGAGGGCCCATTAAAAGCGGAAATGACTCTGTTTTGCAAAAGTATGTCAATCAGCTGTGTCCTCTCAGATGCAAAAGACCACGCACGGGCTTAGCTTGAAAGTTAACCTTTGTGAAGGAAAAAGGCCAGCCTAGGATGTGACTACCTGCCCTGAACTGCTTTCAGTTGGACACCAATCCTGTGTGGCTGCTTTAGGTCTCTGAGTTTGCAAGGCTGCCTCGCAGGCCTCCCCTGAGCTTGTCGGGTCAGCATGGGGCCCCTTTCCGTTCACGATACTCATTGTAAAAGTTTATTGTAAAAACAAAAAAAAAGTGACAGAAAGTGAAACTTCCAGCTTCTGCTCCGTGAAGGTGAACCTCACCCCCCTCCTCTCTCTCTTTCCCACACACACACACACTCACACACACACACTGTTGAAATATGAAATATGTTCATTCAAAACATTATAGACATTTACATACTGTGGATAGAAAAGGGGCCACATGCTAAACCCGATGAGCTCAGGGGAGGCCAGCGTGGCGGTCTTACAAACTCAGAGACCAAAGTAACCCCATGGGGTGGAGTGAACACAGAAATTCCTAACTGTGGGTCTTAGTGCACAAAGTGAGCTGCAAAACTGCTCTTCTCAAGCATTTTCTCAGTCAGTTGAGATTTCACTTCCCAGAAATCATCCTTAGTTTGCCTCCAATAAACTCTTTCATATATATATTTTTTCCTTTTTTTTTTTTAGAATGAGTGGAAGGGAGGGGGAGAGATGGAGAAATATTGATTGGTTGCCTCTCACATGAGCTCCGACCCGGCCGGGGATGGAACCTGCAATCCAGGCACATGCCCTTGACCGGGAATTGAACCCTCCACCCTCTGGTGCACAGGCTGATGCTCTAACTCCTGAGCAGCACCAGCCAGGGCTGTGCTGATTCCTGCAGCTGTTCCCCTGCCTCAGTTTACCGTTTCTCACTGCTCTGTGTTGCTCCCCAGGGTCCTCTGCATCTGAGAGAATGGCCGTCCCAGGGGCCAGCGCTGAGGAGCATGAGAGACACAGGTGAGGCTCCGCGGGCCGTGTTCCTGGCCGGGGTTTCCTCGTGAGAGTGGACTGTGTGAGCCCCTGATGCTCGGACGGGCTGGGGGCGGGCTCAGCCCTGGGGTGGAGGCCCGGCCCGGCCCGGCCCGGTCCGGTCTGGTCTGGTTTGGGCTCAGCCCTCGGGAGGCGTGTTCTCCGGGGCCAGGTGCTCAGAGCTCAGACCCTCCTCCCCTGGGCTTTATCGGACACCCGGACTCTCTGCTGAAACTCAGCCCCTCTTCTCCCCAGCTCTCCCTTGGTCCTGAACCTTAAATACTTTCCTGGTTTCTTCGCAGTTTTTCATGATTCTCCTGGCACCTCTTTTATGTTTATTTGCTGGAAAAGCATGAATTTCTTGTCCTAATCCCGATTCCTAGGTGGACATCAAATCCACTGAGTTTTCTAGTTTCCTGGATACCCACTGCCCCCACCTCTGCAGGGTAACCCGGGGTGACCCGGGAGATCTCACCCTGCTGCAGTGGCCTCCTGGTCCTGGTGACCTGTGACCTAGGGCCTCTGGGAGCCCCCTCTTCCAGGATTCTCAGGACTCCTCCGTGACTCGAGGCCCCTCTGGAGGCTTTCACCTGCGGGTCACATGTCCAGGTTGTAATTCCACATGCACCCCCCCCC